TGAGCTAGCATCCAGCAATTATCATTATTATTATTTGTAAAATCTAATATCATTCAGGAATTTGTTCTATTGAAGTAGCAAGAGTGTTTTAAAACTAGTGTTTTAAAGCAAGTAGAAAGTTTGTGCCTTTTTCACCCAAACAATAGAGAAGCAGGTCGTAAGTTGAATGTGACATGGTGTGGAGACCGTCTTGAGCATTGTCCTACACACAAATATCTTAGTGTCATACTTCGGTCCAAAAAAGCTTCATATTACGGACACGAGTTCTGGATGGATCACTCTCAAGCAATCGGGTGGCAAGGTGGGAGGCCAACCCTCGCATACCAGCCAGGGAGGAACTGGCTATGCCTTCATCACGGTGTAGAAGACTCTAGCTAGATCGAATCAGGGTCGAGATACAGTACCAAAATGCAAGACAAACATGCAGAAATGGGTCTCTTACATCATCACATGACGAAGAAAACGTTTTGTGTGCGTGTGGTGTTGTTCAGGATCCCGGCCATCTACTGATGTCCACGCCTAGACCAGTCTTGCACATTAGATGACCTTTTACAAGCGAATGACAAAGCCATATCGGTAGCTAATTTCTGGAAAAGCAAAGTCAGATTTCCGGACACGGAAAGTAAGTAGCCTAAGTAGCATGAGGAGGAAGAGGGTTAGTTACAATTTTTTAGGACCTTTATAGCTTAAATTTACTTTCATTGACAACAATTTTTTTTTTATTTTAGGTTGCAAAAGAACTTGAACCTGAACCTGAACCTGAACTTGAAGGACCTGAGGGGTCTGGTGTATGTGTCTTAGAAGTTCAATCTGAACAAAATGTGAGTTGTTATTATCATCTCAACCGTATTATTAATGTAAAATTATTCAAAACAATTAATTAATTTAGTTTAAAAATATTATTTTGTGATAAATTAATAATACCAATAACCAATAAAGTAAGTAATCAGTCACCAATTTTACGATGAACGAAAAATAGCTTACACTTAGATACTGTACAATGAAAATTACCTTTCCAACAAGCATAAAAGACAAATATTTTAATTTCAGGTCCCAAATGGAGTGCGCGTGTTAAATGATCAATCAGATAAAAATGTGAGTATGAGTAACTATACCTGAACCGCATTGTTACGGTACTAATGAATAATTTAAAAAAATTTAACCGTTCATTTTGTGGTTAATTCATATTTGAAATAACATTTAATGTACTGTAGAAAATTATGAATTTGGTTCAAACAGAAAAATGTAAAAAATATATTCTAAACACGCAAAAGAATCTGTTATCATTGTTATTATATGTGGTTAAAAATTGCATAACTCGATTTTTTGGACAGTGTAAATGGCTTATGTACCGGTACCCAAAGACTGCCATAGAAAGATAACGTTTGCCCAAAGTAACCATTAATGGTAGATAGGAGAGAGAATACTCATATATTTTCATGAATTTTTACTGTAGGTAGTAAACAAATAGACCTCTGTTATTGTTTGTTGAAATTGTTATACATTTATGTTTATTTTCCATGATGATTAGTTATTCTGATTCTGGTATTGGAGTATGCCAAGAGTAAGATATAACGCAACAAGTGTAGACAGGAATTTTATATTCTAAAATTGGCCAGGTGATGCTTAAATTTTTACTCTCAGTAGACTAGGATACAAATTTTGCAGTACAAATTAACGCAACCTTAATACAGATTTTTTATTTGTACAGCTGATGACTTCCAACAAACCCATTAGATGTGCGAAGATAAGGGCTCTGGAGATAATTTCAGATGTAAGTGCTCAAATAAGTCAGTCTATGGTGGAAGAAAAGGTAAATTATTTTGAGCAAAGAAGAATGTCAGAAGACAGCCAGGTTCGTGCCACTCGCCTTGAGGAACAGCGACAAAGAGACGCCAACCGCAGAGCCGCCGAGGACGAAGACGAGCGAGCACGAAGCCTCGAAGAACTGCGGCAAACAGCCGCTAACCGCAGGGCCGCCGAGGGCGAAGACGAGCGAGCACGAAGCCTCGAAGAACTGCGGCAAACAGCCGCTAACCGCAGGGCCGCCGAGGACGAAGACGAGCGAGCACGAAGCCTCGAAGAACTGCGGCAAACAGCCGCTATCCGCAGAGCCGCCGAGGACGAAGACGAGCGAGCACGACGCCTCGAAGAACTGCGGCAAACAGCCGCTAACCGCAGGGCCGCCGAGGACGAAGACGAGCGAGCACGAAGCCTCGAAGAACTGCGGCAAACAGCCGCTAACCGCAGGGCCGCCGAGGACGAAGACGAGCGAGCACGAAGCCTCGAAGAACTGCGGCAAACAGCCGCTAACCGCAGGGCCGCCGAGGACGAAGACGAGCGAGCACGAAGCCTCGAAGAACTGCGGCAAACAGCCGCTATCCGCAGAGCCGCCGAGGACGAAGACGAGCGAGCACGACGCCTCGAAGAACTGCGGCAAACAGCCGCTAACCGCAGGGCCGCCGAGGACGAAGACGAGCGAGCACGACGCCTCGAAGAACTCCGACAAGCAGCCGCTATCCGCAGAGCCGCCGAGGATGATGACGAGCGTGTTCGACGTCTTGAAGAACAGAGGAAAATAGATCAATAAAAGGTTAAATTACCTGTGTCCGCCGGTCGATCCTGTAGAATCCTATTGCAGGATATGCATTTCGGCGATGTTAAATACAGGTTAAATTGTTTCAGGTAATTTAACCTTTTATTGATTGTCAACCGATCCGGAACAACAAACAACATAAAATGAAGGAAAATAGATGCCAACCGCAGGGATAATGAAGTAGTAGACGAGCGTGCTCAACGCCTTCTAGAACAGCGTCGTCGTACAGCTGAAATGCGACAGAATTCTGAGCGCAATCAACTTCAATCCTATAAAGCCGCTGCCTCAAGCCTCGTAGAGTACAACAATTTGGGAATGTTTGACATTGCATGTGTTCATTGTGGTGCTGTTCATTTTTTAAAAGAGAGAGTGCAGAACAGAATTCACCCTAATTCTTTTGGTGACTGTTGCCTTCATGGTCGCATTGAACAACCTGCGCCAGAGTTTCCCAATGAATTGGCATTGCTGTACACTAAACAACACAGACTAGCCAAACAGTTCCACGATAAAATTCGAAATATTTCTGCCTGTTTTGCTTTTTCTTCATTCAATGTTGCTGATGACAGGACTTTCAATAGTAAAGGTATTTATACATTTACTGCTGGTAGACAAGTGTATCACAAGTTAAATTTGGCGGCTCAGCCAGTCAGCAACAGTGAGGGTGATTTGGAAAGACCTAGATATGGCCAAATGTACTTCATTGATCCGGAAACAGCCGTTGCAGAACGTATGAATGAACCAATGAATCAAGGCATCAATCAAGAACTCATACAGATTTTAGAGGAGATAATGAGAAGTCAAAACCCATTTTCACAGGCTTTTACGATGATGAGGGAGATAGTTGAGGAAAACAATCAGCGTGCTGAAGCTCTTGGTGTCCAACCACCCCACGTCCACCTCCTGTTTGCTGAACGTGCAGGTAAAATAATACTGTTTTCTCTAATTACAATTATTTTGTATGTTATTTGTAGTTGCTGCAAAAATATAAAATCAGAAATATAAAATAAACAGTAACTAAACATAAAAACTTATGCAAACTTATCAAGTAAGTAGTCTTGTGTTTGTTACTCCTCGATAAATATGATGACTCTGAAGGTAAATTTAATTGAAGGGTCGCCACAACTAACGTTTTGCTGCAATCTCAGTACTAAACTCTGAAAACTTCCATACAAGCATAAGCAAACGCGCCGTAGCCTTTTTTATTTCCTTTCTCCGTAGCTTTCTATATTACATGTAAGAATGACTACAACAGCCTGTTAAAATAATAATACCCCAACCGCAGCAAACCTGCAGACTAAGCAAATTTCCATTTGCCTGATTGGATTTACACTAAAATGCCTCCTGAAAAGTATCACATTTATTCCCTATTTTAATAGATTAGTTTAACGTACTTAGGTTTGCTGCAACAGGGAGGGTAAAAAGGTGTTTTGTTGTAAAATGTTAATAGTTTAGTAAAAAATGAATGTATTTTACAAATTCTATCAAAATATGTTCATAAACAAGCAAACTACAACAGTTGACTTATTCTCCATAAGAATAACATAGGAATTTTAAATTTACAATTTTGTGGAATTTTCTCCGTAACCATTAGGCGCACAATAACGCTTCAATATACTAAATTATTTTTTTTTTAAGCTCTACAAAATGGTTTGGAAAGAAATTGTGAAATTTTGTGTTTTTAGGGTAAAAAACGAAAAAAACCTATTTTTATTTGTGTCATTTTTCTCTTAGAACTAAATAATGATTAAAGTTAAGATTTTTTTGTTTTTCATATCATTAATTTACGATGTTTACTTTTAGGCGATGATTCCAGGCGATTCAACTCACCAACTTATAATGAAGTTGCTGCTGTAATTACATTACATGCAGACCAAAGTATTCCGGAAAATGAGATGGTTATTAAGGAGCGAGGAAAACAGTTAATAACGCTCAAGAACATTGACAGCCGAGTAGAACCATTCACCTACCCTCTCCTCTACCCAAAAGGAACTTTTGGGTTTACTGTAGGGCTTCCTCTTAAAACGCCTTATGCAAGCCGTGCACACATGACGAGGATGGAGTTGGCTCAATACAGGTTAGCCTTTCGTCCAGAACAAGCCAAGGCTCTTCCTCCTGAACCATTGCTAGAGGATTAGATCTAAGGTCGATTGGATTTAATGCTCTCCACTTTGGTGGTAGACTGTTTCAACAGTACGTCGTGGACACATACATCCGTGTTGAACGTGATCGTATTCAGTGGATCAAATATAACCAAAAGAAACTTCAAGCTGATCAGTATGCAGGAGTAACACATTTTCTAAATGAATTGGCTGAAAAGAAAAATGCTACAGTTGCTGAAAAACTGATTTTACCATCATCTTTTCCCGGATCAACTAGATATTTCACCGAACACTTTGAAGACGCTATGGCAATAGTCCGAAGGTTTGGCTCTCCAGACTTTTTTATCACAATAACGTGCAGTCCAACATGGCCAGAATTAAAAGAAGCTGCATGTATTGAGCTCTCTGATGGTTCTAAACTTCAACAGTTCGCCCAGGAAAGACCTGACATTGTGGCTAGGGTAGCCAAATTGAAATTTGACAGCATAGTTGAAGATATAAGTAAGAAACAGATTTTTGGGAAGTCTTCTGCTTTTGTTTACACTATAGAATTTCAAAAACGAGGATTACCCCACCTACATCTTCTTGTCATCATGGCAAATGAAGACAAACTCCGGTCTCCAGAGGAAGTAGACACTTTCATTTCGGCAGAAATTCCTAATGATGACCCAGTTCTAAGGGAGTTGGTCCTCAAATGGATGATTCACAATCCATGTGGCGAACTTAATCCGTCTGCATCATGTATGGAGAATAAGGGTGGATCAGCTAAATGCCGCTTTGGATTCCCCAAAGCTCATCAAGAGTTTACGTCAATTGTTGACAACAAAAAACCGAATTATAAGAGACGGTATGACCCACAACTGGATCCAAATAACCCAGAATTTTCTCACGTCCATGCGGTGTACCGCAAAAACAGTGATGGACAAAAAGTTACACGGGACAATAGACATGTTGCTCCATACAATGGCTATTTACTGAAGAAATACATGTGTCACATAAATATCGAGTATGTTGGTAGTGTTAGAGCCGTTAAGTACCTCTATAAATACATTTATAAAGGGCATGACTGCGCAAATATAAAAATTGTTGAAAATGTGGCCCGAATAATGTATAATGAAGCAGAAACATTTGTTGAGGCACGTTATATTTCGCCCCCTGAAGCATTTTGGAGGCTGGCTGGAAATGAAATCCAAAGGAAAAGCCATTCGGTGCAACGTTTGGACATCCATCTAGAAGGTCAGTACCGTGTGGGAAACATGGAACAGACACAAGAAGATGTAGCGGACACTGGCCTGAAAGGGTCCACCTTAGAGGCGTACTTTAAACACAACTCTAAACTTCACATAGAAGAAGAGAATGGGAATGAAGTAATCTACTACTTCTACTGGCAGATGCCAGAAAAGTACAAATGGTTAGGCAAAACAAGTGAATGGGTGGTACGACAGCGAAGCTCAAAAACTATTGGAAGGATCCACACCGTGAACTTGGTGGCCCAACCTGAACTTTATCACTTGAGAATGCTCCTCTTTCATACCAAAGATGCCAAAAGTTTTGAAGACCTTAAATTTGTAAATGGGACTGCCTATTCCACTTATAAACAAGCATGCCTGGCAAAAGGCCTTACATATGATGACCAGCAATGGATTGATGGGCTGCGGGAATCCGCTTTGTCAAAGATGCCGAGTGTCATGAGGACACTCTTTTGTCAAATCTTGATTCTCGGATCACCAGAAAACCCTAAACGTCTCTGGGATATGTTTAAGGACGAGTTGGCAGAAGATTTTCTTAGAGAAGCAGAGATTTCTGGAACTCCTCTAGAAGATGCTTACAACAGAGCATATAGAATCATAGCTTACAAGCTAAATACTGAAGCTACAGAAGGTAATAATCAACTTATAAATATTACTTATTACAAAACTTAAATTAAGTTTATTTTGGGTGTATACCCCTTCAAAATTTGTAATATATTTATTTATATTTTATTTTAAATGATAAATAATATCTTTCTCTTAAACTGACAGCGAGTAGGTTAGCCATGCCAATGGTCGATGAATGTTGTCTATTGGTCTACCAAAGTTAAATATCAATCTTTAGTGAATTCCTTCAACATATCATACATAATACCATATCAATATTAAATTATTTTAATGTCTTTAAAAGTCATTTCAATATAATTAATAAAGATGGTCTAATACAGTCCTTACTATTATTTATTAATCACAAATTTATAAAAAAACAGATGATTTCAGAATCAAACCTTTGCAGATATTTTTATAACAGTCTTTAAAAACTAACCTAAAATATGTTAATTTAATATAAAAAAGGGTTTAAATTAGTGTGTGTTTTAAATAAGAGAGCACAAACCCCATTTAACCATATTATTCACTCATGAATAATACATTCATGACACACATTATTCTAACCATTGTTGTAAACAGTACTTTAATTTGGGAGATATCGACCTTGAAACATACATAATTGCGGATCTTCCAGCAAAATAAATCGTCTTAATAACAAACATTTTGAGCCTTTGGGTGGTGATTGATCACCTATAATTACTCCCAATTATTTACCCAAATTCTTTCAGCTTTATTAACTTATCGTTATTTGTGATGTGTTCCAAAAACTTTAATGACACTTTCTAGAAATTTTTAATACTTAAACGTGCTTATTTTAGGCGCAACTTCCGTTTTTGGGTAGAGAACTATGGAATGGATGATATTAACGACTTCGAGATGAATGAGGAGGTTTTTAACGTAGGGCAATCTCATGAAATTGGCCATCGCCTCTACAACAACCTCAATGATAAACAGAAGGAATTTGTTGATGCTGTCATCCAAACACTTGATGATGAGAGTTCAGGTACAGTACACTGTTAATAAACTGAGAAATTCAGGTGCGAGAATACCTAGGATACCACTAATAGTGTGCGGTATAATTACTATTAGAGGAAAAAATCGAGGTTTTGGTACAAAAGAGAATAATTTATTAAGAGAAAAATGAGTATGTTGTTATGTGCGGTGATTCTAGACGAATGAATCCAACAATGGATAATGGTCATATGATGGGATGTTAAATACAAAGACATTTAAATTACTAGATGAAACAAAGACACTTGACGGAACATACCGCCCCCTTTGAACCAATGGGGTTCAATAAATTAAAATATTACTTTTAACAAAAACAAAAACTGAGGGGGTATTTATGCAAAATTGATTGTCTGAGGAACACTCTTAAGGGATGGGAAACACTTTTATCGCTGGTCTTGTATACAGTCCGTTCGCTGTTTTAACTTTGACCACTCTGACAATGCCGTCCAGTCCAGGTGAAGTTTCCACTATTCGACCTAATGGCCAACACAGGGGAGCAGTTCTGGTGTCTTGAAGTAGAACAAGGTCACCAACCTTGAGGTTTTCATTTTTGATGTTCCACTTGAAACGCTGTTGAAGGGTGTTTAGGTATTCTTGGCTCCAACGTCGCCAAATGTTTTGGGTAAAAGCTTGGACACGTTGCCAACGCTTAAGGCGGTTAGAAGTCAAATCGGTGAGGTCCGGTTCAGGAACAGGTAATAGAGAAGAGCCAATGAGAAAATGGCCCGGAGTTAATGCTGTTAAGTCCGAAGGGTCTGAGGAAAGAGGAGTCAATGGTCTTGAATTCATAATTGCTTCAATTTTAGCAGTTAGAGTGAAGAATTCTTCAACTGTGAGAACTTCTTGTTGAATGACTCGATAGAGGTGATGTTTCATGCTTTTGACAGCACTTTCCCACAAGCCTCCTTGGTGTGGGGCAGCTGGTGGATTGAAGTTGAATTCGATTGAATGAAGGTTACAAAAGTCCAAGAGTTGTTGTTTGTTTTCAATAGTTTTGAAGAGTGATTTAAAATATGAATCAGCTCCGACAAAGTTGGTACCACAGTCGGAATGAATCGTTTTTGGAAGACCTCGACGTGATACAAATCGTGTTAAAGAAGCTAGAAATGATGCTGTAGAAAGATCAGTCACAGGTTCTAGATGAACGGCTTTTGTGGCAAAGCATACAAATACACATATATAAATCTTGAAATGTTTAACAGACCGTAGATTGTGAGATTTCGCAATGAAGGGACCACAGAAGTCCATGCCTGTTGTCTGAAATGGGCGTGTACAGCTGACTCTTGAACTGGGTAGATCACCCATAAGAGGTGGGGTATTTCTTGGTTTACTCTTAAAACATCTTAAACATTTGAAAATTCGCATTCTGATAACGGTTCTAGCAGAGAGAATCCAGAAGCGTTCATTTATCAATGACTGAAGGAGTTGTGGTCCAGCATGTAAGTGTTTTGAATGGAAATGGTCGATCAGAATGTTAACAACATGATGAGATTTTGGCAAAAGGATTGGATGTTTACTGTCATAACTCAGAGATGATTGATTGAGTCTTCCTCCAACTCGAAGAATTCCTTCGATGTCCAAAAAGGGAGACAATCTTCTGATCCTTGTACTGCATGGTTTGTCGTCTTTCAAAAGTGCAATATCTTCTGAAAAAGCTTCATTTTGTACAAGTTTCTTGACAAGCTTTTCAGTCGACTGTATTTCCGAGAGGGTAGGTCTATCACCTTCAGTAGTATTGACAGGGTGGTTGCGGCATCTATTTATAAAGCGTAACACAAATGTTAGGACATTTAGTAGTTTGGTCCAATTTGAAAATTTAAGCAAAAAATCTGGAGTTTCAGAGGAGGTGAGCACGATGAGAGGGTCCTTTTTTAATTCTGGAATTTCATTTTCTTTGAGAGAAATTGAGTCATCTGAAGGCCACTGTGACAGATTATTTGCTAACCAGGTGGGTCCTGTCCACCACAGGGGATGATCTTTCAACAACGAGGGAGAAAGTCCACGAGAAGCACAATCGGCTGGGTTGTCAGAACTTCTCACATGTTTCCACGAGTTTATAGGAGTCAACTCTTGTATCTCTGCTACACGGTTAGAGACAAATGTTTTCAGTTTGTACGGGGGTGTACTTATCCATGCTAGGACAATGGTTGAATCACACCAATTTTGAATCAATTCTATTTGGTAGTTTGAAGAGTAAATATTTACACAGTAGTTCATTAGTTTTGCAAGTAAATGGCTACCACATAACTCTAAACGAGGAAGGGAGACTGATTTCAAAGGAGCAAGGCGAGTCTTAGAGATAATGTTTCGGATGATAACTTGACCATCAACAGTCGTACGAAGAAATACAACAGCAGCATAACCATGAAGAGACGCATCTGCAAATCCATGAAGTTGAATTGAACAGCCTGATGTAAGCTTTAAATTTCTTGGAATTAGGATAGTTGAAACGTCAGACAATTCTTCAAGAAAACTCATCCAGGACTCAGTCAATTCTAGGGGTAAGGGATCATCCCAATTCAAATTCTGTGTCCAAAGGTATTGCATAAAACATTTAGCTTTCATAGTTACTGGTGTTATAAAACCTACTGGGTCATAGATTTGGGCAATGATGCTCAACACTTTACGTTTAGTATGTGGAATTGTTGTACATGACTTTGAAATGTTGAAATGGTAAGAAAATGTATCTGTAATAGATGACCAATGCAGACCTAGAATGCTGAAATGGGCTTGTTGTGTGGCATCATGAAAGAACATGTTTCTAGATGTTCTTGAGGCATATCATTGAGAAGCTTCTTTGAATTGGAGGTCCATTTTCTCAATTCAAATCCACCTTTCTTCAAAAGTTCAATCAATTGATTACGCAGCTCTAAAGCTTTGTCTTCAGAATCATGCCCTCCAATACAATCATCCATGTACGTTTGATGTAAAAGGACATGTTTTGCGGATGGGTACGCGTCACCTTCATCAGCAGCAAGCTGATTCAGAGTGCTAATGGCTAGAAACGGCGAACAATTCATGCCGTATGTGACAGTGGTTAATTTAAAAACTGAGAGTGGATCTTGATTATTTTCTCTCCAGAGTATCAACTGATAGTTTTGATCGTCCGGGTGAACTTTAATCTGACGGTACATCTGTTTGATGTCGCAAGAAAAAACAACTTTGTACTTTCTGAAATTCATTAATATGTCATGAACATCAGTTTGAAGCTTAGGACCAGGGAGTAATATATCATTGAGAGAGATGTTGTTACTTGTTCGACAGGATGCGTCAAAAACAACACGAAGTTTGGTTGACGATGAAGACTCTTTAACGACTCCGTGATGGGGCAGGAAAAAATGTGGACAATTTAAAGGGGGTTTGACATCACATTTTGTCATGTGGCCAGAGGTGTTGTAATCTTTCATGAAATCAGTGTATTTTTCATGAAATTCAGGTAGAGAGGAGAATTTACGTTCAAGAGATGCCATTCTAGATTTGGCAGGGATCAAAGAATCACCTAATACGTCACTATTAGGCTTAAATGGTAGTCTTACTACATAACGTCCATCAGGATCACGGGAATGAGTCTTACCAAATGATTGACACAGTAAGAGTCGTCGTCAGAAAGCTTTGAATGCTGCGGAGGTTCTTCTAGCTGCCAAAATCGCTGTAGAGAGCTGTGCAGATCGAAATCACTTATTGTTAAGAAGGTTGACAAGTGGTTGGTTGGGTGGTTTCCACCGAGGCAAGGTGTTTTACCCATATTTGTAAAACCAAATACTGTACCTACAACTTTTGGTAAATTATTACCAATGGTGTGTATCTCGCCAGTGAAAATGTTGGCAAAAAGTTCACATCCTAGGAGAATATCAATGGGTCCAGTAACATTAAATGAGGGATCTGCTAGGCTATATTTTCTAACATGCTCAATTACATCAGGATGTACTTGTGATCTAGGGAGTGGTGAAGTAATTTTGTCAAGAATAACTACAGTATGATTCTGAGCTACGGGTTTACTGCTTAGAGTTTCTAAATCCACATTAGTTACACCTTTAGTCTTGGTACTAAGGCCAGAGATGCCATCAATAGGAATTACTGACTTACTTCGGACCACGTTCAATAGCTGGGCTGCACGTTCAGAGATGAAGGAGCATTGAGAAGCTGAATCAATCAAACCTCGGAGGATATGTGTGTGTCCGGAGGGAGACTTAACCTTGATAAGAGTCGTGGCTAGGAGTACTGTGGAGTTGCATTGGGAGAATTTATCACTTTCGCAAACCATGGATGTTGCACTTTGAGGGTATAAAGCTTCATTAGGTTCACTTAGGCCTATATGTTGTTCTTCATTGGAACGATTTCTGACTTTAGTAATAGGCTTACCGGTAGTAGGTTTAGGTTTCAAAAAATGCAAAAGTGAGTGATGAAGTTTTGAACAAGTCTTACAAGTACGCTTAGACATACACTGCTTAACCAAATGATTGCCGAGGCAATTTGTACACCGTTTTAAGTCATGTACCATTTGCAACCTTTCTTGAGGGGTTTACTCTGAAATAATGTACAACTATATACATTGTGACTTTCATTGCAGCAAAAACATTTGAGATCATTTGAAGTGCTTACAAAAGCCAAAGGTCGACGTTGAAAAGATTTATCATTTTGAAATGAAACTTGATTAGGGTTGGAAAGTTTTAGAGGAGCTACTTGTGGAGCGTGACAGAGAGAGGCATCTTCACTGTTGTTACAAAAGTCTTTAAGAAATTTGATTAATTCACTTGCTTGAGGAAAATCAGAAGATTTTAGGCGTTTTGATTCGAAAACTTGACAGAGGTTGGAGTTCATTTTTCGTAAGATCTACATACTTAGTAGGTAGTTGTCTTCCATGACATTATAGTCAAGAACACTAAGAGCTTGTTCATTTTCGTTGAACTCATTTAAAAATGATCTGAGGTTTTTGATGGATTTGTCAGTAATATTGGGCAAATCGACAATTTTACTGAGGTGGACAGAGATTAGCCTACGCTTCGAGTGATATCTTTCCCGTAAAGCATTATAGGCTACTGTATAGTTGCCAGACGAGATTGGTAGGGATTTAATTAGGTGTAAGGCTTCGCCTTCAAGTGAACTTATCAAGTACTGGTGTTTTTCAACAAGGGATAAGCTACTGTTGTTGTGGATAGTAGTATCAAAAAGGTTAATGTAGGATATCCATGTTTTAGTGTCACCATTGAAGGACTTCAGTTCTAGCTTGGGCAATTTTACAACGCTATGAGTAGGCCTAGAGGTTGGGTTTGATGCTACAGAGTTATTTGACAAGTGTTCATCATTAAAGTTCTGAATTAAAAGAGAAATTTCAGTTTGAATGTTAATTGAGAGTTCTGATATGACGTTCTGGAGCTTTGAAATAGCTTCTTCATTGTCAGAAAAAACTTTAGTATTGTCATCAACATCAAGAAGCTTATCAAGGTTAGCTTCAAAATTGGCAGAAATTGTTTTAGATTCTTGCAAATAAAGGTTAAGTTTAGTGGTTTGAGCTTCTGTTATTTCTGATGGACACGATTGGATATACTCACTGATCGAATTTAATTTATTTAATTGCAATTTGCATCTATTAGAAAATGTTGAAAATCTCATTTTGAAAGTTAGGCCTAGGCCGTTCAATGAGTTTAGTAGCAGAGATATTAAAATCGGATGGAGTAATTAGAGGATGAGGACGAAGACTGAGGAATAAAATTAGGGTTTCTTTATTATTTTCATGTTGGTAATGCTTTATTTTGATAACTTACGATGAGATGCGGTGCGTTGTCTTCGAAGTACAAACATAACCTTATTTTTGAGTTTCTTGACGTTTGACGTTGCGATGCGATGTAGACGAAATGAAGTCGAGTCGAGATGAGAATGCGGAGCGGAACTAGCAGAACGATGACGATGTTGAACACTTGGAATGAGAGGAGTGTGGACTGTACCGTGACGTAGATGAAAAGTTCAAAATGGCGATGCGGTTTTGTCCTTGGCGGCTTCACGTTGGATGAAATACGTTCAACCGAGACATTTAAATTAACTTGAAAAAAGTCACACTAATGTATAATCCGCGGCTCGATAGGACCAAAAATGTGCGGTATAATTACTATTAGAGGAAAAAATCGAGGTTTTGGTACAAAAGAGAATAATTTATTAAGAGAAAAATGAGTATGTTGTTATGTGCGGTGATTCTAGACGAATGAATCCAACAATGGATAATGGTCATATGATGGGATGTTAAATACAAAGACATTTAAATTACTAGATGAAACAAAGACACTTGACGGAACAAATAGCATTGAACATATGTTTTAACAATTCCATTTAACCAATGTTAAATAATGTTTATTTTCGGCCCAAAAACGTCATTTGTTGATGTTTATGATCCATACCGGGTATTTTTCTAGTAATCGTGTACGATACCAATAACCTTGAATAATAGGGAGGTTACTTCAATATTTAGAAAAGTATGTTTTGAAACTATTTAAATAATGGTCAAGCCTTTTTTTACTTACAAGTAAATGACATAGTTAGTTATCAAAATACAGTTTCAGTTTTGAAATAAAACATATGGTTAACACATATTATTTGTTGCAAAAAAAAGAACAAAAAAAAACAGAATCCTAATGCATCAGCTTTTAGAAACCCGCAGACTTGGATAATATAAGCTCGGATAATAATGAAGTTAACTGTAAATTGTACATTTTTGTTTTTAATCAATGTCATCTGATTTAATTCATTTTTTAGCTTAAATTTTGTATACTATCTTTCTTTATACTATTCAAACAATGTCACCAGTTTTAAAATCCTGACAGTAACAAAACATAATGTTGTGCACATGAATTGATGCAACACATGAATTGATTTGTTTTCAGGACCAAAATGTTTCTTCCTTGATGGACCTGGAGGTACAGGGAAAACATTTGTCTACAATACCTTGTACCACCTCTGCCGAAGTCGAAACATCATTGTTAAATGCATGGCATTTACAGGCATTGCATTCATACTTCTGCCAGAAGGACGCACAACCCACAAGACATTTGGTCTTAAAGTTCCTTTGACTAATGATTCAAAATCATCAATCAAACGTGGATCTTCAAAATTCAAGGAATTGGAAGCAGTCAACATGTTCATGATGGATGAAGCACCAATGCTTCCTAAATACGGTCTTGACTGCATGTACGAGCTCCTTCGTGATCTAGGTGACAGGAACTCCCCATTTGGCGGGAAAATAATGATTTTAGGAGGAGATTTTCGACAGTGTCTACCGGTCCAGCCAAGGGCAAATCGTACCGAACTTCTAGACCTTTCCATCAAGAAAAGTGTTCTCTGGAGGTACTTCAGGGTTTTCTCTCTGGAACAAAATATGAGAGTTGATGCGGAAGAGGAGTGCTTTGCTAGGTACCTACTGAAACTTGGAAATGGAGAGCTTGATACCAACGCTGATAGTGAAATTGAACTCCCTAATGACATCATCACTAATACTAATGACATTGTTAACGAGATCTATGGAGAATGTCTCTCCGACGGAAACTTTGAGTACATGAAGGATCGAGCAATTCTTGCACCCCTAAACAAGGACGTCGACACAATTAACAACACCGTTATCAATTTAATTCCTGGAACCGAGACCATTTATAAAAGTTACGATTCAATTAAAGATGAACCAGAAGGTGCCTTAAAGTTCCCCCAGAATTCCTAAACTCTATCGAGATTTCAGACCTACCACCACACCAGCTCAGACTAAAAAGTAATACCATTATCATGCTCCTTCGTAACCTTGACGTCTCAGAGGGTCTGTGCAATGGCACTAGACTGATAGTTACAGCACTCTGTCCTAACATAATAAAAGCCAAGATCATCACTGGTGAACACTCTGGCCGAGACGTGCGCATACCAAGAATCACCCTTGATTCATGCAAGTCTCAGCTAGGGTGTTCACTACAAAGACACCAATTCCCTATTCGGCCAGCCTTTGCGATGACAATACATAAATCGCAAGGGCAAACATTTAAATATGTCGGCGTCGTGCTACAAACGCCTGTATTCATGCATGGCATGACCGCAGGGGGCTCACGCTTGCGTGGGTTCGTGGACTGGGCGACCACGCGGACCCTAGCTCTCCCAGAGGGGAGGTAACTGCCCGGTGTCAGACCCGGCACTTCAGGTAGACCACAGTTATGGACGACTGGTAAGCGCCAGCCCCTTAGGGGGAGCCTCCAGTGACATTCCCTCCATTCAGGGTGGGGGGGGTGTTTAGCTCTCAGTGACGCCGTTAATTCCGCCTCTCCTCAACTACCTGTAACTGTGGTTGTGACTGAGTCCTACCTGTTGTGTTCGACTGACATTTTGTGAGGCATATCCTCGACTTTGGAAGTAGCCTCGTCCTGGGAGGTGAAATACCTAGCCCCCAGAGGGGAGGTAAATGCTCCGTGTTGGTATCGGCATTTCAAGTTGGCCACAGACATGGTCGACTGGGCATCGGGTCCCAGTGACATTCCTTTATCCAGGATGGAGGGGTGTTTAGCTCTAGGAGAGATGGAAGTACATCATAATCTCTAACCTACCTGTGTCTGTGGTACTTTGGGCTTCGGCCTGCTTGTGGTGTGCGACCAGCATTCAGTGGGCAAATCCTCGACTTTGGAAGTAACCTTTCCTGGAGGTGAAAACGGGCAAGTACCCGTAGCTCACGGGGACACTCAAGGGCAACGTAACTTTCCGCAGTGTGAGGGCAACGGTTTGTAGGTACTTATGCAAACCTATCCCTGTCTCTGAGCACGGACGGTATGGTTATCTTGAGTGTGGGGGGTTCTTCCCGGAACCTCAATTGAGTCAAGGGTGTCGCCACCTCTGGTGGATAGGTTCATCCGGGTGGGTCCCACTTCTATACCTGCCTCCTTTTGGGAAACCCTGATGGCCTGGCAGTGATGTTGGGTCTGACGGGCAAACGAAGTAGATCGGGTGCTGGGTCCGAGCCCGCCAGGGGTATCTGGGGATCTATCGCTCTGGATATCTCTGGTTCCCAGCAATGGGTCAGGCCTCGATCGGGCAGCGGTGTAAATGGGAGGTTGGGGTTCCCCCCGTCAGCGTGCTGATGGTCCCCTTCCTCCTGGCTATTGATGGCGGGTTCTGCCTGTCAGGGATGAGATAGGTCCCGAGTGTTGCTTGCACTAAATGCGTCGGGGCGCTCTACTATGGACCTCTAGGTTCCGACCTAGTGGAACCCAGGTGGAGTGACGCTTAAACAAGCAGCCGGAATCCCTGGTTAGGATTGAGGGGCAACCCTCTTTCCGAAGGGTCTGCTTCGGCAGCCGGCGAGCCTGATGACCTTAAGTCATCCGCCCATGATGTGCTAAAGGTTGATGCGTAAGCTTCGGCCTACATCATGGGGCCCGGGTATGTCCTGTAGGATAGGTACCGGGTAAGCAGTCAGGGGGCTTCGGCTCTCATGACAACAAATAATAATAATAATAATAATAATAATGGCATGCTATACGTTGCATTTTCAAGGGTAAAGCGTAGAAGTGCATTGAAAGTGGTGGTACCGCCAGAAACAGGTGGTCGCACACGCAACGTAGTGTGGACCGAAGTTTTTAATTGATGTGGTTCGTGCATTTGAGAAAAGACTTTTGTTATATTATGAAATTCTATTTTTCTTGCACTATTTTTTATTTGTTTTGTTGTAAACATTTTCTTTGATAGTTAGTTTTATTGAAGGTATGCATTGTACTGTATCAGATGCAGGCAAGTTCTTTACTTGCTCTGCTCTTTAGGGATACTTTAAATGTATTGAAATATTTTGGAATATTTCATTTTTATATAATAATCTTATATTCTTATGTGAGCAATGTTTGCTTGCAGATCAAAAACAGCAAGGTCAAAGGTCGGGGTACCGCAGGGTTCGGTTATGGGCCACATTTTGTTTTTAATTTTAATTAATGACCTTAGTTTCAATTTAGATTGTAAGTCAACAATTTATGCTGATGACACCTCTTTACTTGTTAGCCATAGAGATTTAGATTGTATGGAAAATGTTGCCAATTCTGTTTTTAAAGATGCTGAAGAATGCTTTACAGTAAATGGATTGTTTTTAAATTCTAAAAAACACAGAGAATATTGGTGACCTTGAAAAAGAATCATGAAAACCATCAATTTGTTCACGAGTATGAAAATTTTGTAACATTACTTGGTATAAAAGTAGACTGTAAGCTGTCATAGTCTGACCATATTAATTTTGTAAATAATAAATTGCCCAGAGTTGTACATTTGTTAATAAATCTAAAAAGACATGTTTCCAGTAAATACTTGAAAATGGCATATTTTGCTTTTTATGAAAGTGTTATCTGGTGGATAATCTGGAGTAACGGAGTTGGAATTAAAAAAAAATTAATAAAAAAAAAAGCTGTTAAGAGTTTTGCCGGACTCAGAAAGGTTAGCCCGCTCCAGGCCACTTTTTGTCTCATCGGGGACCCTGACTATTGTACACTTGTATATTTTAGAGGTATTGATGTTTGTCAAAATTAATTTAAATATGTTTTCTGTCAGAGAAATAATACATGATCATGTAATCAGATTTAGGAATAAATTAGATCAACAAAGGTTTAGGTTAAGTAAATCAATTAATTATCATGTTAATTTAGGTGTAACATTTTTCAACAAGTTACCATTGGCTTTTCAGAGTTTGCTTAAAAAAGCATTAAATAGATTGTATAATTGGTTACAATTGAACCCATTTTATACATTGGATGAATTTTTAAATATTAAAATAGAGTCTTCAAGCCTAGCCCAATTTTAGATTTTAAACATTACATGTTTTTTTGTGATGTTAGCTCAATTTAATGTTGCTTGTTTATCAATGTGAATCATATACAACTGTTTATTGAACAATTTTGTAATTTTGTTGAATGTCTAATAAATGTCTTATTATTTGTCTTATTTGCTTGTATGTATAATTTCACAAAGTACTTGAAAACGGCTTTGACAACAGCCTTTAAATGTTGGAAATAATTTATTTCTAGCCTAAAAACGTAATTGACGACCACCAACATCTAAGGCAAATTCGCATTTCACTATACAACTCAATATAACAATATACAAATTTAACATTTGCCACATGGGCTGCTAAGTAGTTATGTTGGTTGAACAAAATAATAAGTAAAAAGAAAAACAAAAGACTTGTAACATATTGTGTTTATAATAAACCAACCACAGTATACTACAATTTACAGTACAAAGGGGGAAACATCATGTTACTATTGAGCAAAGATTACACTAATTTATCTATATAGGGGATATTTTCCCTTATATATTGATTAATTTTCAGTATAATCTTTGCTCAATAGTAATAATTGAAGTTCCTCTATATGAGGTTTTTGCCATTGACTGTAAAATAAAATAATTTGTTGTGGATTGTCAGGTTAAATGTTCCATCATAATAAATGGAAATTCCACTTGAAGTTAAATAATTAAGTCCGAAATTAGTTGTAAATAAGACTTGATATTGTGAAATCCGTGGATAAGTTAAAGTCATATTGTGGTTAACCTGATAATAATAAAACACAGCTGGCCTAAAGATATTGCTTTAGCAACACTTAAGTTGCCTTTATATTGCTTTTACAATCGAAATCAACTATACCGAGCCATGGCTCGGTCCCCCGGTACTTAACTATTAATAGAAACACTTGACCATAATGACCTTTAATAGACTTTATATGCATTTTTATATTCTAGCAGACTTGACTCGGTACATAATACAAATACTAACAACAACAACAATGATAACATGTAATAAACAATAAATAAGTAACATGCAATGATAATGGACTAGCAATTAATATAAGTTAGTATTTAAGAAACTAGCCTAACGTTGCGCATACAAGGTACTGTATGTAAAATATTGATATTATTTCTTAGATAAATTAATCTGATATGGCTTTACATCATACGAAATATAGCGTGTCGTTACTGTCAATTTTGCAATATTATTGCTCTAATATATTTCAACTTTTATAACTTTTATTTATACTCTTTGAACCTATATCCATTTCTTGGTATTCTTTTTCGTTTCACTTTTACTTTTTAACTACAAAAAACATGATCTAATATATTATTTAAGATAGTCCGAAAAAAGTATTTGTAAACTTGATTCGATTTTTCTATTTATGAAGAAAAGGGAGTTCAAGAACAATTCTACAAATGATTAATGTGTACGAGTGGAATTATAAAATTTATTTATCCAGCAGTTGTATCTACATTAGTAAGAGAAGTATTTAATTAATAGTAATACATTTATTGATACGTGATGGTTAAATTCATTGGTTTGTAGTTTGTGCTACAGAAATTATTACAGATTTCTTATTTTTGCATTGTATACAATTATCTAGGTTAAATTCACTTAACGCTATTCAAGTTTCGAATAATAGTGCTTTGAAGTGTAATCCAATCCCCAGTTGACATAACAATCGTATTATTTAGCCAATATTCCACAGGTCTATGCTCCAGTACAGCTCGACCATTGGCTGGAACTAATTGTCAAAGCAGTCTCTATAACAAAACTCCAACTTTGGAGAGCTTTGATCATCACAGGTAATTATTATTGAATCCACTGAAGTTATTAATACTTTAATCTGTGTCCATAAAATGTAATTCTTGTTATGAACAAATGCACATAAGTCAATTAAAAATCTTCAGCCTCTTTAAAAC